GAAAGGTACAATAGTTCGGACTTCATTTCAGTATAATCCTTCTATTTTAAGAATACCTGGCACTATTTTAAACTGAAAAGGGCATACTCCCCCCTCCCCCTTAATAAATTCTACAATATTTGATCAAATATATCAATTTTTCAGAAAATAAAAGAGATGTGAAAGAGAAAAATTGGTCGGTATTTTGAAAAGATTTCTTCCAATATTTCACTATCTCCATCCTTTCTAATTGTTTTATAAATTTATAAATGTATTATCTTTGTCCTTTTTCCAAGTTTATATCCAAAGCACTCCCAAACTTCAGAGTGTCAAAGTGCCATGTTTTTTGTGGCATGTTAAATTTTCTATATTCTACAATATTAAACAAATAGTAATATGTTATTGTAATCTTATATTAACAATCAGTCACTCACAATCTAATATACAATAATAAAAACTGATATACAATAACAACTTAATAATCTCTTTAAAACATTTTTAAAGAAAGCTGATATGGTATTCTTTAAAGTTTATAATTAAGGAATTCATTCAGTATTGGATATTATAAATAGTATTGGATACAAGAAGTGTATTGGATACCAAAAACAGTATTGGATACTACTGTATTATATTAGATACTAGATTTCACAGGCTCCCATGAAAAAAATCTTTCTGGTTAGTGCAAAGTTCACTCAATTCCTCTCTTAAATTTGAATCAAATGTTGTACACTTTTATACAGTTTACAGCGTTGACTAACATGCCTCTTTACTTTAATCCTTGCTTTTTCCACTGCTTTCCATTCTGTTTTGCATTTCAATGCAATTGACTACCTTCATATATTTATACACAATTAAGAGTGTCAAGTTCATGCCTGTTTGCCTCATTTCTCGCTGATTCCACATACTTGTACATGTAGTTTACTCTATTTTTCACTTTTAAATATAATAATCGTGGCATTTTTTGAAAGGCAGAAGCATAACTGTAAAATACCCTGCACATCGGTCTAATTATTGCATTTAATAAATGCTTTGTATATTATTGGTTGAACAATTATAAGATGATAATAAGATGATAATATTTATGTACAGGAAAAATATAAGATTCTGGACTTCTTAATTTTTTTTGAGAAGCAGATTTTCAAACACATAATATAATATAATGACAGGAAACTGGGACTATACAAATTCCTGATATTGTTTGATGTTTAAAGGAATTAAGACTAGATTTTCACATATACAGTATTTACAAATAAAAGTCTTATCTAAATATGTGTAAAGGAATTAAAAATAAACAACTTTACTTAAGTATACATGTAATATTATGCTAATAGTGTCCAATAATAGCTAATAATAAATATCGGCCACAATGTACAGGGTGTCAAAAACAACGGCACCCCCCTCTACAGCAAAATGTACTTAATGTTACATGGTGTGTCATATCTCATTTTAAAGACAATTTAATTTTGGAGTTACCCGAGAAATATCAGCTTTATATCATATTAGTTTACAGATTTACAGCGGATTATTAGTAGTTGGTATGACCACCCAGTTGCTGCTCGAACAGCAGTTTATCTGGATCTATATGATTTCAATAAAAATTCAGATAAAGGTGTAGCATCGCATAATCCTCTTAGCACTTCCCTCACATTCTTCAGAATCACATCCTTACTGTATCTTTTTTCAAGAGACTCTTTTTCCATCAATTTCTATACTCTGTTTTTCAGAACTGAGCCCATATATTCAGTGTAGTTGAAATCTGGACTAATTCGTTCATATTTTACTTTCTTAAGATTTGACCTTTAACCAGTAACAGAGCAGCAAAGAAAGTACCGAAGTAGCAAACTTTGAAACAATGTAGCTTTTTTAATATAAAGTTTTATTAAATGAAATTTGATGAGTAACTCCAGAATTAAACCAGAACAACGGCAACGCCAAAGCGTAGCGAATCCCATCGAACAGAAATGGCTGGCATTTTTACAAACGAGCGCAAATATCATAAAACAACACACCAGAAAGGCCACCATTTTCAAAATGATTGCTCACTAGCCAAGTTGTCATCAGAAGAAATAATATGCTTTTAAGTAGCCACCTCTAAAATTTTGGAAAAATCACACACGTACTTGTAAAATAACACACATAAAAATGGTGGCCATTTTTCAAAATGGCCGACTACTCCCCAAAGTTTTATTAGACAATGTGCCATGCTTAAAGTATTCACAAATCAAATATGAACAAAATCGCTCCACTTCATTTCGAGTTATAGTAAAATACGTTAAAAAGGCGGCCATTTTTCAAAATGGCCACCTTCTACATAACGTCATTAGAAATAGACAGTGTGCCATGCTTATAGTATTCACATACCAAATATGAACAAAATCGCTCCACTGCTTTCCAAGTTATAGTAAAATATGTTAAAATGGCGGCCATTTTTCAAATTTTTTTTCAAAATGGCCGCCTTCTACCGAAAGTGTCATAGGACAGTGTGCCATGCTTATAGTATTCACATACCAAATATGAACAAAATCGCTCCACTACTTTTCGAGTTATAGTAAAATGAGTTAAAATGGCGGCCATTTTAAAAAATGGCCGCCTTCCACCAAAAGTGTCTTTAGACAGTGTGCAATGCTTATAGTATTCACATACCAAATATGAACAAAATCGCTCCACTATTTTTTGAGTTACAGCCAAAATCGTAAAATGACGCGTAAAGGCCGCCATTTTTCAAGATGGCTGCCATGTGCTTCTTTAATATCTACATTTGTAGCATTATTAATGTCCTTTATAATTTTTTTATATTTAAAACATATTGCTATTACAGTTTTACATATTGCACCTAAATTACTGTAAAATCGTCACTAAAATGGCCGCCATTTAGAAACTAGCGGCCATTGTGAAAATCGGCTTTCAAGCAGAACTTCTATCCCCATAGGGTATATGTGTACAAAATTTGAACAAAATCGGTCCAACGGTATTTGAGTTATTGCCCGGACGGACGGACGTACGTACGTACGTACGTACGTACGTACGGACGGAGGCGTTCCCTATATCCCTACGAACTTCGTTCGATGGGATAATAACATGGCAGAGAAGCATCCAATATAAGAGGCCACACACTTTATAAGCCAAACTAGAATTGTTTTCATGGCCTGAGTTTGTCGCTAACATGCTAAATACCAGAACAACGGCAACGCCAAAGCGTAGCGAATCCCATCGAACAGAAATGGCTGGCATTTTTACAAACGAAATATATAGCAAACATCATAAAACAACACACCAGAAAGGCCACCATTTTCAAAATGGTTGCTCACTAGCCAAGTTGTCATCAGAAGAAATAATATGCTTTTAAGTAGCCACCTATAAAATCTTTGAAAAATCGCATACATGTACTTGTAAAATAACACACATAAAAATAGTGGCCATTTTTCAAAATGACTGACTACTCCCCAAAGTTTTATTAGACAATGTGCCATGCTTAAAGTATTCACATATCAAATATGAACAAAATTGCTCCACTACTTTTCGAGTTATAGTAAAAAATGTAAAAATGACAGCCATTTTTATAAAATGGCTGCCTACTATCTGAAGTGTCATGAGACAGTGTGCAAGGCTCATGAGTATTCACATATCAAATATGACCAAATCGCTTCACTACTTTTAAAGTTATAGTAAAAAACATAAAAATGGTGGCCAAATTTTTTTTCAAAATGGCCGCATTCTACCAAAAGTGTCATAGGACGGTGTGCCATGCTTATAGTATTCACATACCAAATATGAACAAAATCGCTCCACTACTTTTCGAGTTAAAGTAATATACGTTAAAATGGCGGCCATTTTGAAAAATGGCCGCCTTCTACCAAAAGTGTCTTTAGGCAGTGTGCAATGTTTATAGTATTCACATACCAAATATGAACAAAATCGCTCCACTACTTTTCGAGTTATAGCAAAAATCGTAAAATAACGAATAAAGGCCGCCATTTTTCAAGATGGCTGCCATGTGCTTCTTTAATGTCTACATTTATAGCTTTATTAATGTCCTTCATAATTTTTTTACATTTAAAACATATTGCTATTACAGTTTTACATATTGCACCTAAATTACTGTAAAATCGGCACTAAAATGGCCGCCATTTTGAATTGAGCGGCCATTTTGAAAATCGGCTTTCAAGCAGAACTTCTACCCCCATAGGGTATATGTGTACAAAATATGAACAAAATCGGGCCAACAGTATTTGAGTTATCGCCCGGACGGACGGACAGACGGACGGACGTCATTTGTTGTTGCTGCATTGGTTTCTTCATTCATTTTCTTCTTTCTTTCGGACGTACGTACGGACGGACGTACGTACGGACGGACGGACGTACGTACGGACGTACGGACGTACGTACGTACGGACGGACGGACGTACGTACGGACGGACGTACGTACGGACGGAGGCGTTCCCTATATCCCTCCGAACTTCGTTCGATGGGATAATTATCTTTCAAATGAGGTATGACACGATATGTAACATTAAGGACTTTTTGCTGTAGAGGGGGGTGCCGTTGTTCTTTGACACCCTGTACTTGTACATACAGAAAAATCTATGTGTGTCTGCAGGCCCGTAGCCAGGGGGGTACGCAGGGTTCGGGCAAACCCCCCCTGGCCAAAAATTCTTTCAAAATCATGAAGTTTTTCACCATTTTGAGCACTTCTCAAGTGATTTTAGCCATATTTGGGCCACAATTGTCAAATGTGACCCCCCCTGGAAATTTTTGAAAACTGACCCCCCCTTGGCTACGAGCCTGGTCTATGTCTCAAAATAGTGTCCAACCTCAATTTAGATTACAGAGATGTTCCACTTTACAGGTTTTACTGTACTGTTATAATATTTTAAAACAAATTGCACTAAAAGAAAATTCTGGCATCGTGTCAGAATTTGAGATGGCCAGACAAATTAGCAAGTTGTGCAGACTCAGGCACGTTCTTGACATGATTATTTCAATTCAAAATTAGGTTAGCTTTAACTAATATTAATTAATATGTGTTAAACAAATGATAAATAAGCAAGAGCTCTGAATAACATAAAACTAAAACGAAGCAATAACAGAATGTAACCACTTGATGGGTATTTGAAAATTGGTTACAAAAGTGTAACAATTTGTTACAGATGCTGACTACTGACACCAAACGCTGGTGACAAAAATGGTGGGTATAACAATATGTTAATACTTTTGGTGGTGACATAATATTTTAATAAAGCACTGTATCTCAAACACATAATGAGATGAGCTATAACTTCTTGTGCGAAACATATTTTTCTAGTTTCATCTAATGGTTTCCCTCCTGATCCTGATCTTATTTCATCTGATATAACATTTAAGTCAATAAAATGATCTTTACCTACCGATACACAATCAAATACAAAATGACTCACCAGACATTTGCACAAAAAGTGATGACTCACCAGACATTTGCACAAAAAGTGATGACTCATCAGACATTTGCACAAAAAGTGATGACTCATCAGATTTCTGCACGAGAAGTGATATATCAGGCATTTAAAAGTGCCTAGAAATATATTAGCTGAACTCTTATTCTATTTTGTTAGTCCTTAACTAAGAAGTACCGTATTGCTTTCCAATGGTACCCTTCCACTGGTGCATTGAGAGGGAGTTGTAAGCTTAGCTTAGGTGATATCTTTACAACAAATCGGACATCCATCAAAACGATTTCGCAAATGTCTTGTATAATTGGAACGTAACTTCTTCCTTGGATAATCCATTTAAAAAATTTTGCTGCAAAACTCTTGTACATTAAATATTTTGTTGTATTACAGAATCCTCAAGATTCAATACATAAGTTATATCTAAAGATGTCTCGGATTGTGACTTTCGAGAGAGTGTAATTATTTTTGTCGCATCCACTCAATGTGACATGTCTGAGAACCATCGGAGTGATTTAGTAAATGTTCTGTACAATTCATACAGGTATTGCATCACTCTCCTCGAGAGAGGTAAGCCTTGAAAGTCCTGATTTTAAACATATATTGGATATATTTGAGACATATGTATTTGACAGTCAATATAATGCCCTTAGGAGTGGTATACTTTAATGATCTCTGTGATATCCTTACGACATATTGGACAGCCATCTCGGCGATTCAGTAAAAGTTTAGCACATTCAGAGCAAGTGACCATATGATGGCATGGACATAAAAGACAGTCTCGTTGTCGATCCATACAGATTGCACAATCGCGTTCATTGTCGTTAATACTCACTGAAAACACAGAGAATTGAGTGTTTAGAACAATTAAGATTGTCACAAAACAAGCTTGAATGGTTTCGTTCTTTGAGATGATATGAGACATGTTCATTTTGATTGATGTGTGGTCGCACATCAAGCTGTGGATGACAATATCATGCATTTGTTACCATAATGAAAGTAGTACAGGACCAAGATCAAGAAAAGTATGCACTTCAAATCATACTCTCAACCTTACAGTAAAAACAGGGACAAGCAATACAGTAAATTAAATATTGTTATGAAACAATACATAAGACTAACATTTGACTTACAGCTGATATTTGACCTATAGCAATGATTTGACTTACAGTTTTCCTCTTCTGATGGAGAAGGCAGGTTTCCTCTATGGCCCAGTCCTGGTATTGAATTCTCCCAGAACCGCCCTAGTCCAGAAGAACTTTTGATTTGCTCAAAACGTGCTGCAAATAATATATAAAATATAAGCAAAACATCGCAAAATATTACCACCTAGCTGCAGTACAGACAATCAATTCCGAATACATGTCACCACTTTTTGTTCAGTATCATATCCTGCGTACAAAAACGAATTGATTTCATCTTGCTAATTGCTTATGCTAGATTCAGAGGATTAAAATAACTACGAAAATGACTATAATGGATTTGCCATTTTCATTCTTCTTGCCAAAAGTGTGAACAAAAAGATTTTCTGAGATTTCTATACAATTTGGAGTATTGACAACATGCCTATTGACTACATTCGTTGCCAATCCCTCTCTTTTCCACACTATGTTCCATTTATAAAATATGACTACCATAATATTTCCAATTTCCGTACCTTGTTTTCTCAGCTCTCGCTGTTCCTCTGTTAATATTAATGGTTCCCCTCCTGACCTGAAGAACAACGTTTTCCCCATCTTCTCTAGCAGGTTTCTCACTGAAATCAAACAGGGAATATGGATGAATAAACACAATAAGCTCACGCGTCTTGCACCCAAGTTCCCATGGTTACAACACAACACCTAGCTTGGCTTGTTCAGTGTTCTCTATACACCTCAGCCAATTCGACAACCCCCATTGGAATTTCATATGAAGTTTCTTTTAAACAGAGCCATTTTGATTAGATTCAATACAAGGAATCTTTAACCTCTTGAATACCCAGAGTGACGGAATATCCGTCACAAATGAAATAAGACTGGTGCCCAGAGGGACGAGAAAATCCGTCACAAAATTTTTCACAAAAATTGCTCTAATTTGAACAATTTTCATCCAATTTACACAAAAATTGTTTTAAAACGTGTAGAAATGATCTCTGCCGTCCAATTTTACTAAGCTGAGCATCTAAAGTTGTATAGGTATGTAATAAAATGTCAAAAGGTGGCAAAATGAAAAATTCTCTGGTTTCATGCCAATTTTAGACCCTGGGATTCAAGAGGTTAAATATCTGAATGAATGCATCGAATATAGGATTGCTCTAGTTTTGTTTAAAATGCCTATAGACACCAATTTTGAACCAAGCAGCAACTTTTGGCTTTTTTTCTCCTCAAATCAACAATACCTCTTTGAGGTGAAAGATCTAAAGATTCTGACAAGATTTTGAATACTTAAAGAAGGCTTAGGTATATGAATTCATTTTAAGCATCCCTTTTGCATCCTCCTAAGCAGGTGTCCAGAATCTGTACCTCCTTCCTCCCCCTGCTATAACCAATTTGGAAGCGCCCGATTTAACTGATTTAATTATGCGCAATGACTAATACACGATTTCTGTCGCAGTATTGCGAGTTCTTCATCGGAGAAATGGTAACTGCTTATCGCAGGGGGTAAAAAGAAAGAATATATTCTGAATTTTGAAGCCCTGTGATCGGAGGATGCCCTTTTGATTCACAGAATTACATGTATTACATGTATATCTCATTCTCAGAAATAACAGGAAATAAGCTACTTAAAGTGCCAATTTCTGGAATTCTCACCATAAATAACCTTGAAATATTTTTTATATTTATCTAAGATTTCAGTATCTTATTGGCTTCATTCCCTGTCATGACTTTTTCCTTGGGTTGCCAGAATTGCACTTACCTTTCTCAATGGTTGCAGCACTGGTTAATTTATCAGGTGTCACCTCAACTTCAGGAATATAAAACACGGGAAACAGAAACCTGAGGCCAAGCGTGCGCTGAAAAGAAGTAACCGAAATAAATTAGTAAATGAAGACTTTATACCTAAAATGTATTTTTCCATGATCATGTAATGTTGCACCATGGTTCTTTGATGATTGCATAATTTTTAAGTAAAAAAAACTTTTCACTTCACTTTCACTTTTTCACTTCATGAATTGTACTGGGTGTGATCATGAATATTAGTACCACTCTACAAGGATATGAGGGCATTAAAATCAGATCCAATGCTACACTACATTCAATTTTGTATAAAAGACCACTGGCCAAATTGGAGCTTTAAAGAAAAATAATTTAAAATATTCTCTGATCTCTTAAATTCTATGACAAGTCTGTGTATAGTTCTACTCATTATGTGCATAATGTGTTTCCACAATTTTTTGTTCATTTTTTCTTGTGAAGCAGGAGATGGGGTGACAGCACACTGTCAAGATGGTTAAGCCAGCACACTGTCAAGTCGGTGAAGCATGCTGTTAAGTTTGCGAAGCATACTGTCAAGTTGGGAAACATACTGTCAAGTCAGTGAAGCACACTGTCAAGTTGGCGAAGCATACTGTCAAGTCAGTGAAGCACACTGTCAAGTCAGTGAAGCACACTGTCAAGTTGGCAAAGCATACTGTCAAGTCAGTGAAGCACACTGTCAAGTCAGTGAAGCACACTGTCAAGTTGGTGTAGCATACTCTTACCTCTTTATATGCAACTCTCTCCATGACCTGCCCAACATCAAGGTTAAGTGTGTTGGTACAGAGAATAGCTGTATCAGTGCAACAATGTGATGCTCCTGGAAAGAAAAGTAATACAGTAAGACCTGAAAGCTCTCATCTAATCAATGTACTGTACAGTATTGTATATATCTAATGTAACATCTAAAACACCACACCTTTTTAGAGGTACAATCATACAACAGGCGGCATGATAAAATTGCTAGCAACATTTGATCATATTTACTCTCCAAAAGGTCCTGTTTACACCCAGGTGCACTCCCAATTCTGTAAATAAACTAAACAGTTCCATAATTGGTAAAAGAGTGATGTCACTTCAGTGCAATGGTTTCTTAAAGAAATTGACAATGTCATTTCATAAAGGAGTTATGTATATTTGAATCGCAATAAAGAACTGTTTACAACCGTTTTTTGGGATTTAAAGGCATTCATGCATGCACTAAGTAACCCGCCTTGTGCATTATGTGTACAGGTTAGTACATGGACTCATCTTTAAAATTTCCAATAAAGAATGATTCCTTAAATATAACTTACTCTCTAATAGATCTTGTTTTATATCAAGATCATCTACAACAGCTTCTATGACAATATCAGCATCATTCACCGTCTCCTCAAGACGACTCATGCACAGGATCTGACCCTGAAATAGGATACACATTCATGTATAGTAAAATGGAAACTGGAATGAATTTGACTCTACTCATCTTAAAAGTATTCTATGTTGGGGATGGTCCACTTGCAGAGGATCACAAAAACTGTTTCACCCACATGTGCCACTTACAGTGATCTACTTGACAGTTTGTACATACATGTATTAAATTAATTCCAAATAATACCAGGAAATGTAAAAATCACTCCATACAAGTTGAACCTGTGATATTTTAAGTAGTGGTTAAATGGGCTTAAAAGATATTCAACCAAACTGGCTCTTAAACATCCAAGGTGATATAACTTTTACAGTTTCAATCAAAATAACGTTGAATAAAATATGTATCTAGTCAGTTGCCTTGTTGCTACACTCGGGTACATAACAACTGACTAAATCCCATCAATCTTCATGTACTTACGATGAAATTTCTCTGTGCCAGGAGTCCCTCCTCTCTTAACTCCTTCTTATCAGATTCACATCTCTCATAGACAGTGTTCAGTGCATTGAGGTTGATATCATGGATCTTAACCCTGTGACCATGATAGGCAAATTCCCCTGTAAGAAACACAAGCATGAAATAACAGAAGACATAACAATGCTAGTACTAGAACCTTCCCCTTCACCAAAATAGGCCCATGGTCAAAAAGCCCCAGGACAAAGTTAACCCATATGTTGGAGCTTGACTTTAAGTCTGTTAAACCTATATAGTCATGGTTACAATAGTGCTGATATATAATAATTAAGGGTGCGTTTTCAAACTAAACATGTAAATATGACAATCTTGATATTTGTTTTGTAATGTTTTGTAATTTTTCATCATAATAACAGACTGTAGGACCCATAATTGTAACGATGTAAGGCACAGGAGTCTGAAAGATGGGAATATACCAGGCCCGGGATCCCAGAATTCATTTATAAAGCTATCTCCAATTAAAGATGACAATCTAGAGGTTTAATATGTAATAATGAGATAGATGTCTATGAATTCTATATTCCCCCTCATGGAGATTGGAGCTTGAGAAGAGATAAAGGCTAACTTTTGAAAAAATAAAAAAAAAACATTTTTGAATTTTTTCACCATCATATTTGCTCGATTCTGATCTTACCTGCGATCTTAACGCCCATTAGGCCACATCCCAATATTGCTACTTTCACCATCTTGTTCTAGACGTAGCATCTACATGGTAGGCAACTTAAAATTCACGTAATTCCTCTAATAAAGTTGAATTTAGTATTTTGGAGATTGATGTTTTGAACTTCCGGTCATGCGCAATGCAAAATTTCATTGCTTGGTATAACTCTACTAAAATAAATCGTAGTATAACTCCACTAAAGAATTTAACTCGTATACAGACACATTGAAAGTAAATAATGCTCCAAGCGTAACCTTGTAAATCAATACGAAACTGATTCAACAGCAGCTGACAGCCCTTACATGATGCACTGGCGGATTAGGGGGGGAGTGGGCCTTTTTGGTCATTACTGGTACTTTTAAGGCCTTTTTTTAATTTCAAAGAAAATGGGCCATAGAATTTCAAAATTTGGGCCCACTCTTGGGTTTTAGGGGCCCAAAATTTTTTTCCCTCTGACTTGAATTTAAATTTGTCGGTTCCCAGATCCGCCCCTGTGATGTACCTAGAAACACAACACATATGATAGTACATCTAACTGTAAGGGGAGGGGAGGTTCATGACTATAAAAATAATTTTTAAATAAAGATGGCGTGGCAATCGATCTGTGTTTATTTAAATATGGGATTCTAATGCTGCCATCTTTACATTCCCATATAATCAGTCTAGTGATGTCCCATTACAATTTGCTCATATAATATTTTACATACATAAGTAAGATATATCTTGAGAACAAATTGATGGCACATTATCGCCGTTATATTGAAAAAAAATCAACTGAACAACCATTAGAACCACAGAGCTCCACAGGAAGTTGTATCAAGTCCTTCTTGGTCCCATATGCATTTCTCTATATGCGAGTCCTCCCCTTCAGTATACACTTTATCATCAGAGGATAAAGTGTACTGACATACTGAGGGTGATAACAGAAACGCATAAGGGACTAAAAAGGACTTGATACAACTTCCTGAGATTAGAACAACCAACTGGCGAATAAAATGTAATTAGTCCAAAGATAACTAATTGTTACGGGAAAGATAACAAGAAATGTGTTGTGTTTGAAAAATGAAAAAAAAATTCAATTTTTAATTTTTTACTTGCCAATAATATCTGTGAACAATCATCAAATTGATTCTTATTTCATCTTTGCAATATCCCACTGATGTAAAACTATAAACAAAAGATCTCAAAATTTTCAAAATATTGGTTTATATGTGATATATTGTTACAATCAAGCAAAACATCAGACATTGTGGTCAAATCCTTTTGATGTGAGAGCCATCTATAAGCAATGTAGGGGTTTAAAAGCATGGAATCTTTTTGGCTGGAAATTGGCCTATCATCCACCAAGTTTAAATCGGACAAAATTACTCTTATGTTTACAATATTAAAAGTATTTTATTTATATCTAGAAAATATACACGAGTGCAGTAAATAGACATACATGTCCATTAAACTGTTAAAATAGCTTCAAGATAAACAATACAGATCCAAATAACTTATCAAGAAGTACAAAAATGTCATTAACTGTTATTCATATTTTGTATTTCTTTCATTTCTAAGTCAAAAATCCTTTCTACAGCAAAATCTAGTGTGATTTCAAAGTTCATAGCAATTTCTTTAGATGACAAATATCTTATTCAGCCAGACATAAACTTTCATTGAATTTATTAAGCTTGGTCAAGAAGAATGAGCAATCTTAACTTGAAATATTCCAAAATCAATTACAGTGCATTGACACTACCCATTAATTCAATGGAAGATGAGCCACTATAAGTGGAAAAACTTCAAAATTTAACACCTTTTAGACCAAAGGTGTTCCATCTGTTCAGGTTGCATTATTTAACTTGAATCTCTTTAAACTTTTTGCTAATGCATCAATGATTGACTTGGAGCCTTTACACATGCTTGCATACTGACACAGTTGTTTCACCATATATCCTGACATGAATGAGATTTCATATTTTATAAATTTTAAATAGCATTCACTATGCGCACTATATCTTTATGTACAACTCAAATACATATGTCTCTGTTTAATATATTCATCTTGAGATCTAACATAAAAACTGCAGACAAAGTCCTCTATAATTTATCACAAACTCTTCTACGCTGTAGCCAGCTTTTGCCAAGGAGGGGAGACTGGACTTTTTTCACCTTTTGGCCCAAAGTCAATTGAAAACTGATCAGAATGATGAAAAGGGTTCATCATTCTGAAATGATTCTGAAAGATTTTTTGGCCCAGGGGGTTTGCCTGTGCCCCCCTCCCCCTAAAAAACCTGGCTACATGCTTGTCCTCAAACAAAGCCCTCAGCCTTTGCTCTCTGTTGTGATTCCTTGGCTCTACGTTCTGACAACCTTCTGTAGCGTTCAAGTTCCTGGAATAATACAACAAAAACTGTATTAAATCAAATTTGGCAGAGTACATTGCAACAGACAAGAGGAGATAACCCAGAATTCAAACATGAATCTATCTTCATGTACATGTAAAGATCTATGAATTCTGGATTATTATTCCTCCTCTTGAAAATACCTTTCTAATAAACCTTGCCACCTTTTTACATCAAAGTAGCTTGCACTGGATATATTTTCCAGACTGATGATGTCATAGCAGGCCCGTAGCCAGGATTTGCCAAGGGGGGTTCACTTTTTGAAAAATTCCAGGGGGGTTCACTTGTGACAATTTTGGTCCAAAAATGGCCAAAAATCACTTGAAAAGTGCTCAGAATAGTGCATGATTTTGAAAGATTTTTTGGCCAAGGGGGGGTTTGCTCGAACCTATTGAACCCCCCCCCTGGTTACAGCCCTGCATAGGTTGATGGTAGTACCGTTTCCAAGCAAAAAGAGGAATACCTTATTGCTACAATATATACTACAACATATGACATCATCAATACAAATATATCCAAATTCTTCGATGCATTTTGTAGTTCTTCTTACAGATGTAGGAATGGAGTGATCAGAAGTTGACGAAATGCATCAGAGCCCCCGGTAAAAACAAATTCCCGGGGATTTAATTGGCAATTTCGCGACGATAATTTTTTGCGATTTTAACACCATCGCGAAAAGCGCGAAAGTTAATCTCACGCGAATAATACCGGGCGTACAGTATTGCGTCCCGGACTTGAGTAAACCTCAGTATAAGGGAACAACCAATAGACATGTGTTCTGCCTTGATAACTCAACTCCTCTCTTTTCCAAGAAAACTACCCCAGAATCTTAAATAATACTTTTCTGCCTTGTTATGAAACCCTTCACTCTTTTATCTAATTTAAAACATGTAAATAATTGTTGACTGTTTCCATATGCACCTCATCTTTCTGTGCTCTGAGTTGATCTATAGCATGTTCAGCATACTGATTGTCTTTGGCAGGGTCTTCCACCATGGCAGGATTATTAGTATTCTGAAACACATAAATTATGATTGATTTTATATAGGCTAGTATAATTTGGGTTTATATGGTGCTACTTCATTTTGGTGTTTTTATCATTTGCTGGATACTGATAACTATTTATTTTGGCAGAAATCTACAGAAATACATTTAAGCTTTTAAATATCACAGGTTATCATCGTAACTGTTATTGACTGGGATATAAATTATCTTCAGCAGGATGGGCAAATCTTCAAAATTAAAGAAATATATGTATGATATACAATATACAGACATGATATCTTGGAACCAAAATAATTTGGAAATCATATTTTCAAGATGTGAATAAATATGCATGTTATTTTCTAGAACACAATGTAAAATCAAATATTGTTTACATGTTCAATTTACTAATCAACTAATTCATGAAATTAATGGAAATTAGTGAAACTATTTATGGTTAAAAAAAAGTTCACTTACCTCTTGTGGGAAATGACCACAATAAGCCTGTTTCCAAAGCTCCAGAGGGTTCCTAAAGCAAATCAAGAGTTAAACTATTTTTGTATTAAAAATAAATTTAAGAAAATGCAGAATAAATGCTACTAATACAACTATCATTATATGTATTTTGCATTCTGAATGCCATTATTCTTAAATATTAATTATATTTACATCACCAATATGTAAACACTAAAAGGAAATTCATGTTCACAACTTTAGCCTACCTTGCAGTTACTCTTCCTATATCATCATCCCCTACAGGTGGAGTACCAATCTGCTGAAGACTGTCCAAGCCACATGGTACAAGCAACGGTTTTGTATGTTCCACCTGGAGTGTTTTACTGAAACAAGCAATACAAACATATATGAATCAATGAAGACTGTCTAAGGGGCGGGGTCAAAATATCAATGTTCATATGGAGACGAAAGTAATTTCGTTTGGACAACAACCCCCCCCCCACCCCCCTCTAGACGAAAGCTTAGGTCACTTCAAAAAAACATTGATTAATAATCGTATCCTATTTGCCGGGTTATTATTACGGTGAATTAACACACGTTCGCAATTTAACTGCATTGAACTCTTCAAAAGGAGGAGGGAAAAGTACGGAATTTATTTGAAAAATGATCGAATTATCGTCTTTATCTACCGATATTTTGGACCTATCACACAAAAAAGCTCACGAACTATTGAAAACAAGCCTTTTTATCAGAACATAGCGCCAGAAAAAGTGGGTAAGTCCAATTATTTTTTGTATATCAGATCCAAATTATCGATGTTTTTTTGGTCAACGAAAGTGCCCAAAAACCCCCTCCCCCCTCGCGAAAGTACTTTCGTCTCCATATGAACATCGATATTTTGACCCCGCCCCTAAGCCACATGGTACAAGCAACGGTTTTGTATGTTCCACCTGGAGTGTTTTACTGAAACAAGCAATACAAACATATATGAATCAATGAAGACTGTCTAAGCCACATGGTACAAGCAACGGTTTTGTATGTTCCACCTGGAGTGTTTTACTGAAACAAGCAATACAAACATATATGAATCAATGAAGACTGTCTAAGCCACATGGTACAAGCAACGGTTTTGTATGTTCCACCTGGAGTGTTTTACTGAAACAAGCAATACAAACATATATGAATCAATGAAGACTGTCTAAGCCACATGGTACAAGCAACGGTTTTGTATGTTCCACCTGGAGTGTTTTACTGAAACAAGCAATACAAACATATATGAATCAATGAAGACTGTCTTAGCCGCATGGTACAAGCAACGGTTTTGTATGTTCCACCTGGAGTGTTTTACTGAAACAAGCAATACACACATATGAATCAATGGAGACTATCTAAGCCACATCTAAAATGGAAATTTGAAAAACATAATACTATTCACCTTCTAATTTAGCTTGATTTTATAAGTCATTTTACTATGTGTCACAAGGTGTCCCAAACTTCAGTCCCAGCATTACATGTATGTATGTGTGTGTAGGGCTTGCCAAGTTAAGGTAAATAAGGTAAATATAATATTAAAATTTCAGGCTTTTCAAATGCCCTTTCCATCCCCATCCTGTTTACCTACCTTGCAGCTGTTGCAAACAAATGGTGGCTGATAAGTGCCCGAGCTCTGGTCATCAAGGCTTCCTGTTTACAACTAAAGAACTGTAGAGTTGCTCCATAACTGTGTGCCACAAATCTCAGAGTCTTACAAATTATCTTTCTCCTTTCTGAGTCAAAATCCTGAAAAATAGTGTAAAAACTAGAAAATTCCAAGCAAATTGCAATAGGCCTAACAATGTTTTACAGAACAGAAAATTGTAATAAGAAGATCATTCCAAGGAATAAAATATGTTTATCTTATAGTTAATCTTAGGATTTAACATTTTACACTTTATTTAATACATACAGGGTGTCCAAAAAGAAAAATACAATGAATAGCTGCAGACATAAAAGTTTAGCAATTGCTCTTGTTTGAAGCCATTCGATCGTGACAAAATTAGACATATTCACCAAAATAAGACATTCCCACCAAAATTAGACATTCACACCTTTATTGACAGATGGACAGATGGACCAAGGATAGATGCCTAGCTAGTTTATTCCATAGGCCAATAAATATAGTGAACAGATTTTGAGCTAAACACCTTGGGTTTTAAATTCTATGTACAGAAGCTTGTGCAGTATGTTCTGCAAAAGTGTTCACTAGTGGTAGGCGTTTATTAGGAAGTTCAAGTTGTACACAAAGTAATGTTTTACTGTAGGCTATGTTGATATATACTGTACATATTTACCTGAAAAACATCATATTTACTCCCTATAATGATCAATGGTATTGGAAAAGGGCTGATCATCTCTTTATCCTATAAAAAAATAATGATTAAAAAAAACACCAATATATCAAGGTGTGACATCATCAATCTGATATATCCTAACTTCTATGCTAATAAGAACTTTTTATTTTAAAAAATCTCAACCATTTCTATTTATTGTATAATTTAAAGTCTCCATGAATGCAGTTTTAGATATATTTGAGCTGAAAAGTGTATCTTCTTACTGGATTATTTTCACCAATACGTTCCCAAGAAGCTTTTATCAACTGGTTGACCACATCTGGATTTGACGCCTTCAGATTTGCTATGACATCATCAATACGCTGTTTGGCGGACTTGATGAGATTCTCCAATGTGAACCAGAGTTCATTGGGCAGAGACAAGTCAACTACAATAGCCAGGGATATATTTCTGCAATAAGAGAAAACGGATATCATTGATAAAAAATGATTTTTCAGTAAAATTAAAATGATGTAAATGTAAATAAACCATAATTTATATGTGACTGATGTTCTAGCTATGATTTATAGTGCAATATGTTTTTACATGTGATGCATTGAGAAGTTCAAAATCCAAGGTTACACATTTGCCATAAAACAAAGAATTAATATGGGGCCCACCAACAGAACCTTCTTAAAGTTTAGAATTCGTAAAGTCCATTGTTCTCTATCTGTGAGGTCATTATATCCATGGCTACAACAATTGATTTACGATTTCGTTTCTGTTAATGACTCCCTGATAAGCAAACTATGAACCATAGTCGTTTTCAATTTTTATATGGAGCGTAGAATTGGGTGTCTAGTGATTTCAGCAAAGTAGATTCCGGCAATTACAAATATATATAAATACTTTTTTAAGATTTTACTCACTTTATATTTTCTTCATTGATTGGTACATCAAGTAGTTTGGACAGCCAAGTCCCACCCCCTAGTTCCCAAATATGACCAACATCTTTGGCGATGTTGTGACCCTTTGCTCTTCTACCAAATGTGTATTCTAAAGCTGTTGTAGGCTTTGGAGCTTCATCTCGGTCTAAGAACCTCAAAATTATAGATGTTTTCCCCTGAAAAAATATAGGAATTTCAGAATGTAGGCACTGCTTTCTTTTAGTGAGTAGACACCATTATTTTACTATATTCTGGACTGTTATCATAAGGGGAACAATTTTTTAACAAGAAAATATGCACTTCAATGCTGTTCATGAAGCAAAACTTATAAATAGATTCATATTGACTTACTGAATTTTTACTTCCAACAAAGAGTATGGATGCTTCTTCATTGCTCCCACTGGAAGCTGAAAGATATAAAATAAAAGTGCTGCTACAAGTAACAATCAAATTATTTTGGGATTATTAATCAACCAAGAACAAATATAAAGAAAATCCAAGTTTTATTTCTAAAAATGGCTGAATAAATAAATGTATATTTCTGTAAAATCTTTTCCCCTTTCCACATTTTTTCCGGGCATATCTTATTCCTGTCTATGCCTATGAGCTACTTCAATTAAAAGGATTTTAAAGTATAATATAATGTTTGATTCTCTGATTAATTAAGATAATATAATGTAAGTTTAGCATAGAAACATCAGTACACAAACATATGTGGATTGTGGAAAGGTTCTAGCTGATTGTTTGACATCATTCGCTTTACCATGGACCCTCTTGTATTATAACACACATACTGACTAAATTACCTTCTTTAGCATTAGCCTCATTGATGGCAAGATCCCAAATAGTCTTGTCTCCCCTGGAAGTAGAAGCATGTTAAGTTTAGACAAAAACATAATTTTATTCATATCATACCAAATAATGTTTACATTGTAAACAGAATTGCCAATTATCCACCCTGACTAAGGTTCATGTCTATATCTACATTTTTGAACATACTGTTACACCAGCCTTTAGTCTGAAGTATGTTTATCAAAAATGCAATAAATATTGACTGTTCAGCATAGTAACAAAAATGCAATATTTTGCAATTGTAAAGCCCAAGATGTCACACAGCATTGTTGACTTTTTGGTGATTTGATTTTGTGACTGAATTAGAGAATAGAAATCATTTTATTGTGAACGAAATTAATTTAGATGATAGGCCTAGATCACACGCTTACTATATTTGCACAAAGCCATCTTTAGATAGATAGCTATGCATATGTTGATATTCCCAGCCCATGTAAAAGGTATTTTACAAAAATGTAAGAAATCTTGGAAACATTTACTCTCATTCAATCGATGTAGAACATTCTAAAGTATCATTTTCCTGACCATATCACGCGATTTGGAGTCGGGAGACAGTGTAATTGACGAAAAATGTATTTGGAACTTGTTATTTTCTATGTCATCTGACCAGGAAGTTTTGCCAATGCGCATGCGTGTAACCGGAAGCGGAAATCTCATGGCATGGAGGCGCATGCACATTACCCAACTTCCTGAAAAGCCATCTTGAAAATGATCAACTCTTCAACATTTTTCATCAATATATTTCCTCTTCCACCCACTCCAGATAGCCCGATATGGTTAGAAAAAACGATACTTTAGAATGTTATGCATCGATTGAAGTAGGGTAAATGTTTCCAAGATTTCTTACATTTTTACAAAAGACCTTTATAAAGGACTGGAAATATCAACATATGCAAAGCTATCTCTCAGAAGATAGCTTTGTGCAAACTAAGTAAATCATAGGCTACAATTTTTTAGAAAGTTTCTGAGTTATAAAAAGTTGATCACTTACATTTTGAAGTTTCACCTCAACTTACAAGCTAATTTTCAACTCCAAATATTCTTTACATATTGATCAATATTTCTGACTTTGTCAAAGAGTTATCATTTCAGAGATAGGACCTAAAATGTCATTAAAAAGGACTTTTTCAAATTTTAGCTTGCTTGGTGATTGGAATTTCCGGTAATCAGGAATGAATATTTTTGACTAACACTTTAATTTTGGAGGTTATTAACAAAATTAGGGTAACATTATACTGATATAAAATATGACTTCTATAGATGAAAGCAGTCTTTTATTTTTTTACTTCTCTAAACGCCTCAAAATTCACGTTTTCTGAACCGGAAATTTATTCAGTCCGTATAGCTTTCAAAATGGATAACTTTCTAGAGGAAGAGTGCATTGCAAAATATGCCGAAGCTCTGCAATTAGAGGACATAGAGGCCAAAAAGGACCCCGAAACCGAACCTTATAAGTCGAAGTATACGGCCAGAAAAATTTACCATGATTTACTCACTGCTCTCAATGAAATTTCTCAATCGAATTCCGATGAAAATTCGGAAAATTTTGTGAAAATTGCTGCCGTTACTGGATTGCTTCTCTACAAACTTGGGGTGAATTATATTGACTGCGAGGAAGCGACTGATGGCGAGCAGCATTTATCTAAGGCATTGATTGTCCTTGAAGCGTTCAAGTTACATCCGTTGACCATCAACACACTTCAAAAGGTCTACTGTCAATTTGGCTTTTTGTGGACTTCACGTCGTCAGCAGAAAAAAGCCCAAGAATATCTTGAAAAGGGAGAAGAGGTGTACAAACAATATAAGGAACAGTGTGGTATTGGACCGTATGTATGTGATGAACTGCTAACAAAGTCGACGGAAAATTTAGATTCTGAAACTCTTAATCGCAAACGAATGGACAATTTTGAAAGTGATTATACCCATACACTTTACTATTTAGCGCAAGTTTATGGGGCGTTGGAGGATACAGATAAATCAGCAGAGTATTGCTGTTTAACATTGACGAGACAACTAAACGCCAATGATTATCAGCCTTTGGATTGGGCTCTGAATGCAGCCACCCTCTCACAATACTATATGACTAATTGTGACTACAAAACTGCTCGTCATTGTCTGGCGGCAGCTAACGTCATCCTTGCTGAAACGGGAGAGGTTCCTGACCAGGAACCCTCTGAAGATGAAGGGGAGGCTGAGAAAAATGATCGAGAAAAAATTCCAAGAGGATGTGCAGATATCGCGCGGTGTTGGTCAAAATATGGATTATCTATTTTGGAAGCATCTAAGGAAAAAGTCCTCCGGGAACATGAACAAACTGGTGCTCTACTAGCTAGTGCACAAAATGCTGAAAACTCAACAAGTTCCATTGACTTCAACTTAGATGTCACGAATACAGAAGATAACATCACCGCCAATCTAGTTCTCGATTTTGAGGAAGCCCGCAAGGTGTTCCTATGTGTCCAGAGATGGTTGAATTCTGCAAAGGAATTCTACAAGTTAGATGGACATTGCACTGATTATGTTGAGATCATACAAGATTATAGCAAAGTGTTCAAATTGCTTTCTTTCTTTGAGATGGATTTTGAACGCCAGTGTAAAATGCATAAACGTCGCATTGATCTCCTTGATGCTGTTCTGAATGAACTTAGTCAGCAGCATTATCTTCTCATTTGCCGTCAACTAATCTACGAGATAGCTGAAACATATGCTGCTATCTTAGATATCAAATCTGCAATTATCGAATCAGATCCAACAATGCGTACACCACATGCCATCAAAAAAATTAACATGTTGGCTGCAAATTCCATTAAGTACTATGTTAGATATATGGATACATTGAGAGATATGAAAACCAAAAAACTGCCAGATAAATTCTGTGAAGATGATGAACGACCAGCACTTGTTGCCCAGTTCTGTATTGGGCGTCTGTACGGCAAATTCTTCTCCCCAGATGTACAGCAAACATTTCAGAACAAGAAAACCTCTTTCGAATACTATAAGTTTTTAGTGGATTATTGTAAAAAGCATGACGATGCTAAAGAGAAGATGAAAGCAGAGTATGAAATATGTGTAGAAATGGTAGATTTACTACCTGCAAAGTTAGATCAAATTCGAGCACAGTTAAATTGAGTACACTGCACAGACAATTTAGTACAGTTGAATTGCCATTGAATTATTCTATGTTCTATGAAATGAAGACATTTTTATTGCAGTACTGTGAATTGAATTACTAGTATTCTATGAAATAAAGACATTTTTATTGCAGCACTGTGAATTGAATTACTAGTATTCTATGAAATGAAGACATTTTTATTGCAGTACTGTGAATTGAATTTTTCTATGATCTATGAAATTAAGACATTTTCATTGCAGTACCTGAGTACTACTGTACTATGACAGCTTTTTTGTCAACAATTTTGATTCTGTGAATTTGCGACATTTATCTTCGAATTAATTAAATATTTGAAAAATAATCATTGTAATGAAGTAATCAATGTAAATAGACTAGATGCGAGTAGAAATAATCTTGATTTACGTCATTAAATATTCAAGATTCAGTCAAAGTGATCTCATATTTGAAATCTGCATGTAAAAGTACATCTAGAAATATGGTTTCGAAAATTGTCTATCAACTTTGAAAATTAAATTTTTTTATGAAAATTTGACTTCTTGTTCGGGTTGATTCCCCATAGACCCCATGTAACAAAATCATAAAAAGTGAACTATCTTCTCTTGTATTGGACAGATAACATTTTCTTTTACTGGACATATTTTAATTTGCATAACTATTAGATAGTACATAGGGTTATATGAAAATTGAACCACGCAAATAGATGTAATTTAAGTTAAAGAGAACTTTCTACTATACCTGCCGTGCTATCTGACCCAAATGAGCCACCTGGTGGTGAATCTGGTAACTACCTACTCGCATCTGTGTTATTGTTATTCATCAATTTTTAATCAAAGGATGAAGCAATAGATTAGTTTGGAGCAACTTTCTGAAAAATTGTCATAATTTTTACAGTACTTATTTCTCCCAGCATTCCATAATCATAATATAATGTATTTATCAACTGGATTTTCAATACAGAAGTGACCCTGAAGAGGCAATAGTGTTCCATGCCATCAGGTTATGCCTTATTTCTGGCTATATTTCATTTGTAATACATTTGTTTAGCTTTGAACGTTTGGCAATACAGTAAAACCTGTGAAAATGGAATACTAGCCTAGTACGCTTGTAGTTTTTTTTGAGAGGTGTGACACTTTTAGAGGTTAAAGTATGACGGGAATATAAAGACAAATATTTATCCCATCGAACAAAGCTCAGGAGGATACAGAGAATGGCTCTGTCCATCCGTCCGTAATAGCTTTGAGGTGGGTGCATATTCCAGTGTCTGGAGTTTGGCAGTAGGCACATTTTAATACTGTAATTTGGGTTAATTTACAAACACCCCAGTCATTTGTCGTATGGTGGCCGTAGGTCGACCTCAGATCAATTAAATCAGCCAATTTCTGCGGCGAGCGTAGGAAAACTACTCTCGTCTCGCGGTCTCCATACGGCGTATCCAGATTTTTACAGGCCGCTGGGTAGCCGCATCGTCGGTTCCCACGCTCAATCACTACATTCTATCTGAGGATAGTTCCGAAGCTTGATGAAGCAAGATGGGGTAGCCATAGAAATTATAATTCGGAGTTATTTACGTATCCAGTTTTTACAGGCCGCGGGGTAGCCGTAGAAATTATAATTCGGAGTTATTTCTGCGGTCGCCGTAGAAATCAACAGGCCGTTGGCAGACGGTCCCATCATGGTGGCTGCACCTCAGGCTTATGTTGACTTGCGTCTTCCGTAGTGTTTTGATGGGTTATGTACCTTTGGAAACAGTTTTTCAGGTCAGGTTTGCTGTCATATCTTTGCTGTGATCACAATGCAATAGGTACTAGTATACTATTTGATGTAAGGTCACTAATACCACAGCAACCTATATTACAGAAGATTAGTTATTATTGGTCAATGTTTCACTCTTTATTTTATATTATATCTTAGCACTATAGATAACATTTATAAATTGTACTGATGTAAATTAAACAAAAATAAACATTAACGTTTATCAACAAAAAATTCAAAATTTGCCGTGGGAAATGTGACTGCAAAAGTATCCGACTGCAGAAATTCTACGACGAGCTTAGAAATGTTACTAACCGCAGAAATGATAGACCGCATGGTCGCCGTATTAGGAAATGTGACTGGGGTGTTACAACTTTTAAAGTATTGACAGCCAGTCAGTCATGAAATATATTGAATATCTAAAAAATGTAAAATAGAAGTATAATATAAATATAAAATTCACTTTAATGTTTTTTAATTCTATAGTTGTAACTAAATGCTAAATTCTGATATTTTTAGGCCAAGTCATCAAAAATGGATCTTAAATTTTGGGTTTAAGGGGCCCAAATTGTTTTCCCGGCTCAAAAGGTTGTGTCTAGATATATGCCCTTTTGGTCCCTCAGTCAAATGAATGTGAAATATGGCTTTTATTACTGTCCTAGTTATATTTGATAAGTATATTTACTTTTTCACGAGTTTTGATGCATAATTAACCCCCTGCTGAGAGTCAGAATAAGTATCTTAACAACAACAAAAATAGTCATTATCATAGAAAATACACCAATGGCAACATGTGTGACATACAAAGAAGAAATAACTTAAGACCCATGAAGAATTAAAAAGAAAATCATATTTTTGAAAGATATTTAAGGATTAAATTTTTTTTAAATATTTGAATTTCCCGCCAGTTTAATTTGAAGGGGGAAAAACTAGATGGCTGCCATTTGATGTAAGAAATATCAGAAAAAAAGTTGCTTGACTTTTAGTTTTCACAATGAGCACAGTTTTCCGGTTTAGGTTTTTTGACTGATTCTGATTCGTCATCACCAGGGTCGTGTATAGAGATTATAAAATTGAAACCAAAATGTTGTGCTCAGCATGAATTTGACTGAAATATGTGTAACTTCACCAACACAATTGAAGTGCAAAAACTTGATGCTCAGTAACTTTGAGTGACTATAATCCCTTGATTACCCAGATAAACACCAATTCACTTATCTAGAAATACAATTCAGTGTCTATAAAAAGAAAGTAAGCAATGTTTTGGAGGATATGTTTCAAACTTTTTGTATAAACAATTCATTTAATATTTGCCATTGATTTTTTTCAATTCTAGTAAAGTGATATATATGCATTGTCTTTGATGCCAATATTCTTCATCAATTGTGATACTGAACAAATATTTCACTCTATTGAGGTGAATACCTGTACATCTTTCACAAGTGATATTCCACGAAGCCCGAAGGGCAAGTGGAATATCACCTTGCGAAAGTGCTACAGGTATTCACCGAAAATAGAGTGAAATATTTGTTTTATTATATCACTGTCTAGCTAAACATCCCTAATATTATTAAGTCATAGGTTTATAACATTCTGACATTGAAATACATTGAATCTACTCGGTTCGTCTGCCATTTTGACTTACACTGAACTAAATTATTTACACTGAACGAAAACAAATTCTTTGAAAATTCCCGGGAGCGTGGGATATCGCTAGATATCTCACGGTTGTCTTATCTGATTAGCATTGCCATTGAATATCGCCAGATATCCCACGACATGTGACCCGGTTTTGACCAATCATACTGTCGCTAGCTAGATATTGATATAATAAAAATTGATATTTTTGTTATCTCAGAAGAAGGCTAAGATATTGAAGTTTAATATGTGTGATTGAGTTGGTTTTTCAGACATTACCATTTTCAATATTTTCTAAGTCGCATCGATACCCAGACTCATTCCCAGACTCATCCTTTGTTAGCTTCTGGATCCGCAAGTAAGTGACGTTATCATCACAAAATTAATTTAATTGCTGGCGCTGGCTTATAAAATAGTTTCCATGCTACAAGGGCCGAGCAATATATTCGCTACTTTTTGCTCTCAAATTGTTAATAATAAAGTATCTTAGACCTGAAATTTTCCAAAATAATAGAAAAAACATTTTTCTGTAATATCACCAACAGTGCATTTATTTGGTTACATCCGTAATATTTTACATGGCATTGAATATTGGTTGATAGTGACCACCGGAGCTGACATTTGTGACAATGTTTCAGAAAACAACTTTTATACACTAAAATGTCCTTTTTGTTAATTAAGACAGTTACTCCTCATTCCATGCCTCATTCTCAAAATAGTGTCCATCTGCAGCTATGCATTTTCTACATCGGGAAAGCCAGTCTTGATAGGCCTGTTGCAGTCCGTTTCCATTTCCATATAGGTCTTTTAGGGCCTTATGGACGGCCTCAACCACTTCTTCACGGTCACCAAACCTCTGCCCGCGTAGCTTATTCTTCAGTTTGCCGAAAATTTCAAAGTCGCACAATGTCTAATTAAGTAAAAGCTCCCTCAAGCTTCCCCATATGTAGTTCTACAGTCCTCCACAGCTTTTTTTAATGTGTGTCCCTTTTTCACTGATATTTTTATACAAAGTTTTAGATTTGCATTTACCATGCTTGCTTCGTCATTGTTCGTGATGCAACTCAGGAAGCAGAGTCTCCCTTTTGTGATGCATATGCGGATCAATTGTGACCTCTTTATTGTTTGAAAAGAACATCTATGACATCACAACCATTGTTCTGAATATTGGATCAATGTCCAGTAAACAATGTTTATAAAAATTACCCAAACTGAATGTTTTTGTTATGATAAATGGGCATATAAAGATATTGTTGCATGTGCAATTGCAGTAAAATTATTGGCAGCTCCGGTGGCTCATTCCTCCCGTTGCTATGACAACCATATTTTTTGCCATATTTGGCAATGGGCTTGAAAATGAAATCAAAAGATGCGGAATTTTATGTCTGTACTAAAGGAGGGCGAGTTGTTTGTAGAATGAATCGGGGGATTTTTTTCATGAATTTCGCTTATGTTTTTCATCCAAAAAACATCAATACACTTTAAAACATTTTGTTTACTTTAAGATTACACCATGTAATCCAAAAATATATTTCTCATTTTCAAAGATAATCCATGGATTAACACCCAGGTATTTTTATTTTTCAATCTTCAGAGGGCTGGGAATCAATGATGCTCAACGCTTTTGAATACGATAAATGCTGTTTTAAATAGGTTTTACGTATGCCAATAATTTCTCAAATTATGTAAGCTGAATGCATTCCTTAATCCCTAGAATGCCTATCATAATAACATTCTTTTGTCTTGGCCACTTAATATGTTTTGTTGCTGTCTGATCATCAAATCAAATTGTTGTTATTTAAAGATGTCAGTCAAATCTGGTGAAACAGCACAACATTTACCTAAATAGCACGAGTACATATTATGTAACTCATTCATAATATTTCATGCATCAGGTATTAAGGCTTAGGGGATTAACTTTTACACATAAACTGAACTGACAGATGTGCACGCTTACATGTACAACTTCCAGGATTGTAAGAATTCAAAACTTGTTGATAGCCATATTTTCCTGAATGTGACATCGAGATATTATGGCATTTATGAGTGGTAAAACATGAAAAAAAGCATTTTCATTTAAAATTAGCATATGATTTGAATTGATGCCAAGAAATGTATTAGTTAACTGTATCCGTTTTACATCCATTGCAGTTGGCTACATTATAAGACAAGGCATTCACATGCAAAATGTCAACACCTGCCATTTGTTACAGACACCAACTGCCAAACACCAACTGCCAAATGATAAACACCAACCACTGAACACCGTCCACAAAAAAGTTTGAGACCATAACAATATGTCACCACTTGTGGTGGTGACATAAAAATGATCATGGAAAATTGTATTTTTTTTAAAAAGTAGGAACTTCTGAGGTTATTAGAAAATTGGAAGACAAGGAAGGATTCTGGGAAGGATATTAGGGTTATAAATTGCAATGAAACTAAAACAAAACATTCTTTTTCTCAAATATCACAGTGTATATTCAAATCACAAATACGATATCATACAATTACAATAAGGGTCTAGTGCACTTTCCATTATGATATCCCCATGAACAAAATGAATCATTTTTAGGTGTAACATAAAGAATTCAATGTCACATAATACTGTGGAAAATATTTGGGCGTTTGGACCCACATGGGCTGAGGTTGAGGTCATTTAGTTCAGCAAGGGTGTATTGACTTGCCATTGAATGGGCTCC